ATCATGGGAAGAATTCCCTTACAATGGTTGTTCAGATGGAACAGAATGTTTTCCTTACCCTTGGTGTCAGTGGAAGAATGTTCCCTTACATTAGTGGTTCAGTGGGAAGAATGTCCCTTACAATTGGTGGTCAGTGGGAAGAATGTACCTTACATTGATCATGTGAAGAATGTTTTCCTGTCAGTGGGAAGAATGTTCCTTACATTGGTTAGTGGTCGACAGTGGGAAGTAATGTTCCTTACATTGGTGGTTGGGAAGTGGTCAGTGGGAAGTAAGTTTCTTACACTTGGTGATCAGTGAGAAGGAATGTCCCTCTCTTACATTGGTTGGTCAGTGGGAAGATTGCTCCTTACATTGGAGGTCAGTGGGAAGAATGTCCCTTTACCATTGGTGATCAGTGGGATAGAATGTCCCTTACATTGTGAATCTGGTCAGTGGGAAGAATGCCCCTTACCATTGGTGATCAGTGGTAAAATAATGCCCCTTACATTGGTGTGATCAGTGGAAATAATTGTCCTTACATGTGTGGTCAGTGGAAAGAATGTCCCCTTTTACATTGGGGGTCAGTGGGAAGAATGTCCCCCTTACATTGGTGATCAGTGGAAGAATGCTCCTTAACATTGGTGAATCAGTGGAAAGAATGTCCCCGTACATTGATGGTCAGTGAGAATAAACGTCCCTTTAACATTGATGGTCAGTGTGAAGAACGTCCCTTACAGTGGAGGTCAGTGAGGAAGAATGTTCCACCTTACATTGGGGGTGTCAGTGGGAAGAATGTTCCTTACCATTGGTGATCACGTGGGGAAGAATGTCCCTTACATTGGTGATCAGTGGGGAAGAATGTCCCTTACATTGGTGGTTCAGTGGGAAGACTGTCCCTTACATTGGTGGTCAGTGGGAAGAACTTGCCCCTTACAATCTGGGGGTCAGTGGGGAAGAATGTTCCTTACATTGGTGGTCAGTGGGAAGAATGCCCCTTACATTGGGGGTCAGTGGGAAGAATGTCCCATTACATTTGGGGGTCAGTGTGAAGAATGCCCCTTACATGGGGGTCAGTGGGAAAGAAGATGTCCCTTACATTGGTGATCTCAGTGGGAAGAAAGAATGTCCCTTATAATTGGGGGTCAGTGGGGAAAGAGAATGTTCCTTACATTGGTGGTCAGTGGGAAGAATGCCCCTTACATTGGTGGTCCAGAGGAAGAATACCCCCCATTACAGTAGATGGTTGTATGTGAAAATTTTACAACAAATACTCTCAGACCAGCCAGTCTAGCACCAACAATCAAAGACACTTAAATCCCCTTTTTTCATCATTCTGATGCTCGGGTTGAACTTCAGCAAGATTGTCTAGAAGGCCTAAATGCACTTGAGTTGCTGCCATGTGATTGGCTGATTGAGCGTAATTTTGTGTTACCAGGCAATTGAACAGGTGGACCTAATAAAGTTGGCAGGTGAGTGAGTGTATACAGTTTGCAAGAAAAGTATTTGAACCCCTTGGGATTACGTGGAGTTTTTGCATGAATTGGGGCATATAAAATGTGCTCTGAACGTCATCTAAGTCACAACAACTAGAAGAGCACAGTCTGCTGAACATAATTACTACACAAAACATTTAGATGGTTGCCATGGTTTAAAATTGCACATAACATGTAACATTCACTGTGCAGGGAGGAAAAAGTATGTGAACCTTTTGATCGACTTTAATTAACTGGTTGACCCTCCTTTGGCAGCAAGAACCTCATCCCAAACGTTTCCTATTAGTTGCAGATCAGACCTGCACAACGATCTGGAGTCATTTTGGACGCCCACTCCTCTTCACAAAACTGTTTTTCATGTGTAGCAATATTCTTGGGATGTTCTGGTGTGAATCGCTCTCTAAGGTCATGCCACAGCATTTTCAATCGGGTTGAGGTCAGGACTCTGACTGGGCCACTCCAGAAGGCGTATTCTGTGCTGTTGCAGCCATTGTTTTGTGAATTACTTGTATGCTTTGGGGTCATTGTCCTGTTTGCATCACCCATCCTCTGCGGAGCGAGCTTTCAGTTGGCAGACAGTATGGTCGTACGGTTTTCCCTGCAAAATGTCTTGATAAACTCTGGAAATTCAGTTTTCCCATCAATGACAACAATCCGTCCAGGCCCTGAGGCAGCAAAGCAGCCCAATACCATGATGCTCCCCTCCGCCATGTTTCACAGTGGGGATGTGAGGTTTTGATGTTGGGTGGTGCTGGGCCTTTTTTTCTCCACACATAGTGTTGTGTGTTCTTCCCAAACAACTCAATCTTGGTTTCATCTGCCCACAGTATATTTTCGGCCAGTAGTGCTGTGGAACATCCAGGTGCGCTCTTTTGCAAACTATCAAACGTGCTGCAAATATTCTTTTTGGACAGCAATGGCTTTTCCTCCGTGTGGTGTCCTCCCATGTACTCCATTCTTGTTAATGTTTTCCTTATTGTAGATGTGTCAAACAAAAAATGTTAGCAGTGCCAGAGATTTCTGTAGGGTCTTTAGCTGACATACTGGGATTTTCTTTTACCTCATGCAGCAATTCTGCGCTGTTGCTCTTGCAGTCATTTTTACAGGACGACCACGCCTAGGGAGAGTAGCAACAGTGCTAAACTTTCTCCATTGGTAGACAGTCTGTCTTACCGTGGGACCCATGAACATACAGGCTTTTGGAGATACTTTTGTAACCCTTTCCAGGCTTCATGCAAGTCAACAATTCTTATCGTAGGTCTTCTGAGAGCTCTTTTCTGCGAGGCATGGTTCACATCAGACAGTGCTTCTTGAAACCAGTAAACCCAAAACAGGTGTGTGTTTTTTAAGGGCAGGACAGCTGTCAGCAACACATCCAATATCATCACACTGATTGGAGTCAAGGTTGGCTCACTCCTGGCTCCAGTTAGCTCTGGGAGAAGTCATTAAGCTAGGGCCTCACATACTTTTTCCTCCCTGCACTGTGAATGTTTACATGTTATGTGCAATAAAACCATGGCAACATCTAATGTTTTGTGTAGTATTATGTTCAGCAGACTGTGTTCTTCTATTGTTGTGACTTAGATGACGTTCAGAGCACATTTTATGCCCAATTCATGCAAAACTCCACGTAATCCCAAGGGGTTCACATACTTTTTTCTTGCAACTGTATATTGTAGGGTAGAGGTGCCCAAACTATGGCCCTCCAGCTGTTGAAGTACTACACGTCCCATCATGCCTCTGCCTCTGGGAGTCTTGCCTATGGATGTCAGAGTCTTGCAAGGCCTCATGGGACTCGCAGTTCCTCAACACCTGGAGGGCCATAGTTTGGAGACCCCTGTTGTAGGGTATATAGGCCACCATTGCTCGATTATCCTATGAAAACACGAGTTTCCGGACTTGGATTTGAGAAAACGGGCCACGCCTCAATGATGTCTTGGAAATCCAATGGGTTTTATTTATCGGGCAAGTAGCTTCCAGCACATACGGCGAACCTTCCACCTCAAGCCACGCCCCCAACGCATCTCGCCCGTAACATACCAAGATTAGCCATAAAGATGCCATGGGGTTGATTTACTAAAAGCAAATAGACTGTGCGATTTGAAAAGTGCAGTTTCTCCAGAGCTTAGCAAATGAATGTGGTTGGGTATTTTTTGTAAAGTGAAGCTTTACCTGATTTACTACGCTCTGGAGAAACTGCACTTGCAGAGTACACAGTCCGATTGTCTTTAGTAAATCGACCCAAACAGGTAACGAAAAAACCCAAAACAAACTTCATTGAAACTCCACTCTAGCCACCTCAAATTTGAAGGGCAAGTTCTAAACTGTGACTGTGCCTTCATTTTTAATATTTCAGAGACATACTATGCATCAACATGTAGGTCTGGGTCTTGTGATTCTCACAATATAAAGCTCTTTGCTGTAGGATTTATAGTTTTTAAACTACAACCGTTTGAAGATGGCAACCGCCAGTGAAGTGAGCATGTTGGAGCAGTTTGAAGTGAGCATGTTGGAGCAGTTTGTTTCACTGGCAACCGCCAGTGAAGTGAGCATGTTGGAGCAGTCCGCCCCTGCACCAGGTTCAGGGGCGGACTGGCAACTCATGGGGGCCCCCGGGCAATAGGGGATCATGGGGCCCCTGTGTCCTTGCCCAAACTCAAAAAAGCCTATGAAAAAGGTACCAGGGGCATTTCATGGGGCCCCCTACTGACCCAGGGCCCTCGGGCAGTGCCGAGTTTCCAAATGTTCAGTCCGCCCCTGCTTAGACCTTTGCGAAAAACCAACTCGGCTTCCTAAGTCACACACAGCAATATCGAGCGCAAAACACTTTATACCAACATCTAACGTTATCCCCAACTGTGAAGCATGTCGAGTCGAATATTTTGCTGCTTATTTGCCTCATGACCCAGGACTGCTGTGCTATAGAACTAATAGATTCTAAAGTGTCTCAGGCTATTTTATACACAAAAAGCAACAGCAAGGTGTCTGCCTTTGATCTAAAAGTAAAAAAAAAGAAAAGCAGAGCCGTGCAACATGACAATAAACTGACAGCGAAGTGCCTGAGGCAATACAAGTCTGCATTTTTCTCCTCTCTCAGACTCTTCCCCTTGTTTCCATTAGTCATTAATTACATGTTTTAGCACAGATCTGTCATCAATGAAGCCGTTTTTCTCAGGAAAGATACGGCAATGATGTGTTGATTGTTTCTTGAATCCAACTGATCAGATTACATTTCACGAGCTGTTAGTGCCAAAGATTTAGATCCAGTACATCTTTATGGTTTGTAAATTGTTTTGTTACAAATGTTTATATATTTCTTGTTCGTGGGATTTATAGAAATGATTTAGAAAATGGGAGAATCATATTAACTGTTACTGAGAATGAACAACATCTAGTACAAGGAGTCGGGATTGGGTGGGCAATTCAGTTCAGTAGTACCCCCAGCTCTGCCAATTCCCTGCTCATCAGTGGTAAACCGCAGCTCTGCAGATCCCTCGCTCAGTAGTAACCGCCAGCTCTGCGGATCCCTGCTCAGTAGTAACCACCAGCTCTGCAGATCCCTCGCTCAGTAGTAACCCCCAGCTCTGCGGATCCCTTGCTCAGTAGTAACCGCCAGGTCTGCAGATCCCTCGCTCAGTAGTAACCCCCAGCTCTTCAGATCCCTCGCTTAGTAGTAACCGCCAGCTCTGCGGATCCCTCGCTCAGTAGTAACCGCCAGCTCTGCGGATCCCTCGCTAGTAGTAGTAACCCCCAGCTCTGCGGATCCCTCGCTTAGTAGTAACCCCCAGCTCTGCGGATCCCTCGCTCAGTAGTAACCACCAGGTCTGCAGATCCCTCGCTCAGTAGTAACCACCAGGTCTGCAGATCCCTCGCTCAGTAGTAACCGCCAGGTCTGCAGATCCCTCGCTGAGTAGTAACAACCAGTCTGCAGATCCCTTGCTCAGTAGTAACCGCCAGGTCTGCAGGTCCCTCGCTCAGTAGTAACCCCCAGCTCTGCGGATCCCTCGCTCAGTAGTAACCCCCAGCTCTGCAGATTCCTCGTCAGTAGTAACCCCCAGCTCTGCGGATCCCTCGCTTAGTAGTAACCCCCAGCTCTGCGGATCTCTCGCTCAGTAGTGACCCCCAGCTCTGCGGATCCCTCGCTTAGTAGTAACCCCCAGCTCTGCGGATCCCTCGCTCAGTAGTAACCCCCAGCTCTGCAGATCCCTCGCTCAGTAGTAACCGCCAGGTCTGCAGATCCCTCGCTCAGCAGTAACCACCAGGTCTGCAGATCCCTTGCTCAGTAGTAACCGCCAGGTCTGCAGATCCCTCGCTCAGCAGTAACCACCAGGTCTGCAGATCCCTTGCTCAGTAGTAACCGCCAGGTCTGCAGATCCCTCGCTCAGTAGTAACCCCAAGCTCTGCAGATTACTCGCTCAATATTAACCCCCAGCTCTCCTGATCCCCCACTCAGTAGTAACTCCCAGCTCTGCAGATTACTCGCTCAATATTAACCCCCAGCTCTCCTGATCCCCCATTCAGTAGTAACCCCCAGCTCTGCAGATTACTCGCTCAATATTAACCCCCAGCTCTCCTGATCCCCCACTCAGTAGTAACCCCCAGCTCTGCAGATTACTCGCTCAATATTAACCCCCAGCTCTCCTTATCCCCCACTCAGTAGTAACCCCCAGCTTCTCTGCAGATTACTCGGTCAGTAGTAACCCCCACCTCTGCAGATTTCTTGCTCAGTAGTAACCCCTAGCTCTGCT